TAGTTGGCCAGTTTGGTTTTTGTCCTGCTTTTTCTGTAGAGGACGTAAGATAGTTTCCAAATGGTCGGCTAGATGCCAGTGTTGTAGCTGTACTGGAAGAGCTTGGCTAGGGGAGAGGCACGTTCAGGAGCACAACTCTTCAGTACTATTGTTGGAATGTTGTCAGGGTCCATAGCCTTTGCATTATCCAGTACTTCCAACTATTTCTTGATATCACGTGGACTGAATCAAACTGGCTGAAGACTGGCATTCGTGATGCTGGGCACCATCAGAGGAGACAGTGATGGATCTTTCACTTGGCAATTCTGGCTGAAGATTGAAGCATTCATAGCACCCTTATCTTTTGCACTGGTGTGTTGGGTTCTCTCATCATTGAAAATGGGGATATTAGTAGAGCTACCTCACCCAGTAAGTTGTTTAATTCTCCACCACCATTCACAACTGGATGTGGCAGGACTGCAGAGTTCAGATCTGATCTGGTGGCTGTGGGATCAGTTCATTCTGACTGTCATTAACTACTTGTGCTGTTTGGCGTCCAAGTAGTCCTGTTTGGTAGCTTCACCAGGTTGTCATCACATGTTTAGATATGTCTGGTGCTGCTCCTGGCATGCCCTCCTGCACACTGCATTGAATCAGGAGTTGATCCCCTGGCTTGATGGTGATGGTTGACTGGGGGATATGCCAGGCCATGAGGTTGCAGCTTGTGCTGGAGTACAGTTCTGCTGCTGTTGGTGTCGCACAGTGCCTCGCAGTTGCCTGGTCTTGAGTTACTAAATCTGAAATATAACCGGAAGTGCTGGAGAAACTCAGCGTGTCTGGCGGCATCTGTGGGGACAGATACAGAAATGACATTTTGATTCTGATATTGTAATTCTTCAGAATTGAAAGGGGCTGGGAAAAGGGAATTTTTTTTAATGTTGACAGAGGGGGAGCAAGTGGAACAGATGTTGAGTGTCCCCAGAACAAAAGACAAGGGAATACGATCGGTGGTAAAGGAGTACTAACTGTGTAAAATAAATGTGAGCAAATAGGTATGAAGAAGAGAAAATATCTCTCAGAGTAAAGTCAATCAGACAAGGCCAGGGTGGACAAGTGTGTAATAAAAATGGAGGGCTGAGGTTGTGCCCTGTAGTTGTGGAACTGAATGTTGAGTCCTAGAAGTTGTAAAGTGCCTAAGTGGAAAATGAGACATTGCTCCTCCAGCTTGCATTGAGCTTCATTGAAACACTGTTCAGGCTCAGGTGAGAAATGTTATCCTGGGAGCAAGATGGTTTATTGAGATGGCAAACAACTGGGAAGTTGGGGTTATTCTTCGGATAAGGTGGAGGTGTTCTGCAAAGTGTTTACCCAGTCCTATGTTGGATCTTGCTGATGTAAAATGACTATATTGTGTGCAGCAAATACAGTAGACTCGATTGAAAGAAGCATCAGTAAAGACAGTATTTGCTGACACACAGAACATGCACTCTATTCCCAGCAATTACATGCATGTGTATCAATGGGCTGGGCAAGGAAAGGAACAGGGTAGGAGGATGTGGGGGAATGGAACTCATGGGAGGGCAGGAAGGAGTCAATGGGCCAGATTAAGCTGGAAAAAAGTCAAAACTGATTTTTACAACTCTGGACAAGACCAGGAGCCAGCATGCGATATAATCTTTAAGATATTGGAGAAAGAGTTGTGGGTGGGACCCCAAGTAGAATTGGAATTAGGAATGTTCTGCATACCCTATAACTGGGACCCAAAGCCACACATTTGACTTGAATAAAGTGAGACTTGTTCAAGAAGGATTGCAAGAATAATCCCAGCAACAGTTTAACCTCAATAATGGGAAAGCCTCTAGAAGCAATTATTCGGGATGGAATTAGTTACTTGGAAAAAGGTTGGTTGACTGGGAAGAGTCAGCATGGAATTCTAAAGGGGAAATTGTGTTTGACTAGTTGGAGTTTTGTAGAAATAACAAAAAGGCTCGGAGGTTAATGCTATTAATGTGATATACATGGATTTCCAGAAAATGTTTGATACTGTGCCATGCAACAGAATTGAGACAGAACTTGTATGTCATGGTATAAAAGAGAGACAGTAGCAAAGTAGATGTAAAATTGGCTGAGCAATAGGAAACCTGGTCAATGGATATTTTTCAGAGTGGAGGCAGGTTTGTAGTGGAGTTCTCCAGAGACCCTTGCTTTTCCTAATATATATTAATGATCTGGATCTTGATCTGCAGATATTAATTTCAAAGGTTGCAGTTGACATGAAACTTGGAAGAATTGTAAACTGTGAGGAGGACTGTGTAGAACTCCAGTAGGACATTGACAGGTTGATGAAGTGGGCAGATAGGTGGCAAATGAAGTTCAATGCAAAGGTGGTCAGAAATCACACAACACCAGGTTATAGTCCAACAGGTTTATTTGAAAACACAAGCTTTCGGAGCCTCAGTCCTCCTCCAAGTCTTAGTGAGAGAGGTAGTATCAGACACAGAATTTATAAGTAAAAGATCAAAGGTTCACACTATTGATGAGGATGTACTAAACAAACTGAAAATGCTGTTAAATCTTTAATCAGTTAGAAGGTTTTAATTGATTAATATGTATATGTAAGTCCCCGAATTTGTATTTGCAGATACATTTTATTTTGTTCAAAAAGCACACACTTTATAGACAATCAATATGGTATTTTATAAATTCCCACTTGAGAAATAAAACCAGTCTGACTCCAAACTTAAACACAAACCAATTCTAAACAAGGCCTCACACCTAACATGCATTGTCTGACCTAAAATGTTACCTCTTCTTTACACTGATAAAACCTCTAGTTCTCTCAGGACCATGACTTGAAAGGAATTCAGGAAGTTAGGACTGAATTGAGAAGGAACTTCTTCACCCAGAGGGTTGTTAATCTATGGAATTCCTTGCCCAGTGAAGTAGTTGATGCTACTTCAGTAAACGTTTTTAAAGATAAGTTAGTTTTTTTTTGAACAATAAAGGAATTAAGGGATACGGTGAGAATGCGGGTAAGTGGATCTGAGTCCACGAAAAGATCAGCCATGATCTTATTCAATGGCGGAGCAGGCTCGAAGGGCTGGACGGCCTACTCCTGCTCCTAGTTCTTATGTTCTTAAATATACATATTAATCAGTTAATACCTTCTAACTGATTAAAGATTTCATAGCATCTTCGATTTGTTCAGTACATCCTCATCAATGGTGTGAACCTTTGATCTTTTACTTATGAATTCTGTGTCTGATACTACTCCTCTCACTAACGCCTGAAGGAGGACCGAGGCTCAGAAAGCTTGTGTTTTCAAATAAACCTGTTGGATTATAACCTGGTGTCATGTGATTTCTGACCTTGTCCACTCCAGTCCAACACCGGCACCTCCGCATCAATGCAGAGAAGTGTCAGGTAATGCACTTTGGTAGGAAGCACATTGAAAGACAAAACAAAATAAGGATTAAAATAAGTGGATGGATGAACGCAGAGGAGATAGCAGAAAGGGTGGAGAGAGCAGTTGGCAAAAGCATTCGGTGTCCTTGGTCTTATTAATAGGGTTGAAGAGCAAGGAGGTGATGTTGAGCTTGTATAAAAAACTTGTTAGACCTCAGTTGGGATATTGCGCACAGTTGCAGGCACCACATTATAGGAAATATATGAATGAATTGGAAAGAGTGCAGAAGTGATTTTACAAGGATCATTCCTGGAATGAAGTATTTCATTTATGAGGATAAATTGAAGTAGTTGGGCTGTTATCTTTGGAGAGAAGGAGGCTGAGGAGAGATTTGATAGATGTTTTCAAAGTCTAGAGCAGGCTGGATAGAGTAGATAAGGAGCAGCTGTTCCTGCTCATAAAAGGAACAAGAATAAAAGGTTACAGATTTAAAGTGATGTGCAAAAGCAAGGATGATGTGAGGAAAAAAAAACTTATTTGGACAGGGAGTAATCAGGGTATGGAATGCAGTGCCTGGAAATGTAGTGTAGGCAGGCGCAATTGGTGCATCGAAGACCGTATTTGATGATTATTTGGATAGCATTAGAGTGCAAAGGTATGGGAGAAAAGCAGGAGAGTGGCACCACATAATCATGCTCATTTGAAGAGCCATTGTAGGCATGATGGTTGAATGGCCTCTCTATGACTTAAAGGAGAAGTTCTTCAAAATAAGCAAGAGCTCAGCCAGGCAAAGGGGCTAGTGGTGGATGGGAACTGTTGTGGACTGTTTGCAAGGAAAAAGCAGTAAGCCTTCAGACTATCCTGAAAGGAGTTGGACGTGTAGTAATTTTAATTAATAGTTAATATAATGCTAAAATGCATTTTGTTACAAGATGTACTCCTTGGAGAAGCTAAGGTTTTGTTTTAATCATGATGGGACCAGAGTTTTTTAACACAATACTTGGTGGTACAGATGATGTAAAATGTTGAGAACAACAGCTGTAGTCAAAATGAGTTCCCAGCCACTTGGCTTTGGAAGACTGAAATTTAGTTGTGGTACAGTTTTGTTTTTCACCACAGTTCAAATGTACATAGTATGCTTATTTTGTTCTTCTTGCCATTTCAACTACAGAAAAAGAGAGTTCTGACATCACCAGGAGATCTGAGTTTGAGCCCCACCTGTTCCAGAGGCGTATAATAACATCTCAACAGGTTGAATAGAAAATGCATTCCTCTGTATGCGTGAGAGTTCCATTCCTGAGAGCCCCCGCTAATGGTAAAATTCACAAGTGCAGAGTTCAGGTTAAAAATTGCAGATATGCAAGTTTTGCCTGCGGATGTTAGAATTTTGTTACTTTTTGGTGCAGCTAGGCGAATTCGCGAGTCGTGATCTCTCAGATACAGAGGATTTACTGTAATTTAAATTAAGTTCAACACATACTTGATCGAAGGCTTGTTACGCACCATTCCACTGTTGTTCGCGGTTCCTCCTATTCACTGATTCTAAGAGTGTTGGTTTGTAGATTGTCTGGGAAACAGGCAATGTGATACGTTTGCATGCTTTTCTTTTACACAGGTGAGCTCTTTTTGAAATGTCAAACGGCCAATCTTGCTACAGTAACGGTTACCAAGCAGATCTTGAGCTCATGGCTGAGGAATGCAAGGATCACGGGGATGACAATATCAGAACCAACTTAATTGTCAACTACCTGCCTCAGAACATGACACAGGATGAGCTACGAAGCCTTTTCGGTAGTATAGGCGAGGTGGAATCTGCCAAACTCATCCGTGACAAGGTTGCAGGTAAGGGCCTTTAAACTGAAGCTATAGCCATTGTTGCTTTTTGTTGTGGAATAAGATTTTTACACAAATCTTTGAAAGCCAGTTAGGCTATTTTTCTTCTGAATTTCCATGACCTTAAAGTCAGTTTCTGGAATATTTTAACAAAGTCAAATCTAATCAAAGATGGGAGGATCATTAATTGATCTGCTGCCATAAACATTTCAAGAATGTTTTTTGTGAGTTTACCGCTGGCTCATTTTCTTGCAGCATATAGTTGACTTGCACAGTGCAATTCTATTTAATGCAGTTCAGTTTTGTTTGTTTTTAAAAAGTTGTCTTTTTGCTAAGATGGGTGTTGTTATCTGACAAACAAGAGTTGAAGATCTTAAAATGTAGAAATAAGGAAATGTGTCATGTTACGATCGGTCCCTAGGTGAGAGTTCCCAATTCTTTATAGTTTTGGATAGGATGCCCTAAATGGTTATGCTTTCAGGTGAGGAGGAGCGAACTGGGTCCTGTTCTTTACTCAACCTCCCGCAGTGGGACACAACAAGGTTGATTGTAAGAAGAGTCCCTTACCTTGTGGATACCTTTTCCCAGCCAAAATAGAAATTTGTCCTGTTTTTTGGAAAGGAGCCAATTGAACCAGGCTTTCTTGAGTTAAAAGAAGTGAGTTTGAGGTATTGAAACATGTGGAAATAAAGTAAGATGTGACATATACGGATTAAAAATGAGATGTAAGCCCAAGAAGTAAGATTTTAAAAAGATTACATATCAATCTTTGGCTTATTTGTGACAAATTGTGAAATGTTGAAGCTATTAAGGTGACTTAATTCTGGTAGCGCTGACTTTGGCAGTTGAACGGTTAGAGATGTACAGCATGGAAACAGACCTTTCGGTCCAACTTGTCCATGCCAACCAGATATCCTGAATTAATCTAGTCCCATTTACCAGCATTTGGCTCATATCCTTCTAAACCCTTCCTGTTCATGTGGGGATTCTTGGTTCTTCAGTTAACTGAAAGAAATTTGTTGATTTTCCATTAATTTTGCTGTTGACTTGTTTTCAGCGATCAGTGAGAGATTGTTCCTCTTTACCCGCATGTTTAGGGTGTCCGATTGCAATTCTTAGCTGTGACTTTTCACAGCACACTTTAGCACGATGGAACTTGAATTTAAGTTAGCACACCAACTTTCTAGCGCACAAGAGGCCAGGAGTCACAGTTGTTTTGTTTAAGTTCCTTTCTGTGCATTCATGGAAGTGGCCAGAATCTGCCTTTCTTTCGGACAGTTATCTTGTCCATAGTCTGGGACTCAACCCATAGGAGATCACAGTTCACTTTTTCAAATTTCACCTCTCCCTTCGAAGTATCACTGTCTGAAGTTCCTTTGATTCTCTTTAGTGCAACATTGTATGATTATTGTCAGGACGCAGGGGCATCTACGCAGATAGCCACTGAATTTAAATTCTCACCGTTTTGTTTGGCTTGTGTGTTGTTCTTTTTATAAAAGAAGTTCTTAAAAGTTCAATATCTCTAAATAGTGTGGGGTTATGATCTGTTGTCATGACAATCATCAAAATCTCTAATCATGTCCAAGAAAACAATGGCCATGTGTTACTTGGCCATGTATGAGGTTTTGGAAATTTAGGTTATCCAGTTGTCCAGACAAGATGCGTCAGCTAAATGTAGCTCCATATCTTTGTTATTGCAAGTTATACCAATATCTTGAGGCTAAGTTGTACTTCTGTGACAGAATGTTAAGTACAGTCTAGAAAAGAGAGTCCGAGAAAAATAACTTTACGGTGATAACATGTGAAGGATATGCATGCCAAAGTGACTATTATAGAATGTTATGCTTTTGCTTATGTCTTAAGTTTAAAATCAGAAAGACTTGGACTTTTTTATATGTTTTTGCGGGTATACTAGTTAAAAGTTTTGATGTCATTTTATCTTGTATCTGTCCTAAACTGTGCTTCATTTGATGTACACTTAAATCTGAATGAGAGACATTATATAGTAGTTAAAATTTTGGAAATTTTACTTTGTCTCTGTTTGAAACTGAGCTACACAGAGCAACAAAGATTTTTGTTGTATGGTATAAACTGAGCTTAACACAAATACCGTATGGAAATATTTTTGTGGCTCACTGGTAGTGTCCCCACATCTGGGCCAGAGGACCTGGTTCAAGTCTTACCTGCTCCAGAATGCATCATGACATGTTTGGACAGGTTGACTTTTAAAAACAACATTTGTTATTTAATTAGCATAATTATCACTAAGTTAGGAAGCTCTTTATTTAAATAATTGAGAAGTACAAAGTGTACTATTGAAACTTTTAATTTGTAGGACAATTCTGATTGTAATTCATAAGAACATAAGAGACAGGAGTAGACATTTCAGCCCCTTGAGCTTCCTCTGCCATGTTATATGATCATGGCTGATCTTGTCTCAGCCTCAACTCCATTTTCATAAACTCTCATTGATGCTTACAAATTTTCCAGCATTGGTGATTAGTTAATTTAAGAGTTTTGTATAAAGCCTTTTGGCTATATTTAAACACCAGCTCTGGTTCTACATCGGTAACCACTAATGAGCACATGGATATTCAAAGACCTCTTTATCCCATAGTGGAAGCAGAACTGAAAATTCTCAACTTCTTGACTGCTACTGACTACTTAAGTTCTGATTTTAAGATTATTCGTCATTGTTCTGGACTCAACCACCTTCCCCCCCCCCACCCCCAAAAAAAAATAGGAGGAGGTAAGGAAGTTTTTTTAAAACGCATATGCAAAATCCCCAAATTGCATGATTTTGAGACCATGCTGACAGAAAGGCATTGACCAGGTTTCTGTACCGAAAGCAGTTCTATCATCTTTGCAGGATCTGGTGGTTGATTCTTGCTGACGTGCACGTTTCTTCTCAACTTTCCTTTTTCTGAATGCTTTTCTGCTTTGTAAGAGGCACAGTGTGGCTTCTGAAATGTCTCTGACTTATCCAATTAAAAATCACAGCTTGCAGCATCAGCTGAAGGAAAGATAATCTGGTCTTCTTCTGGTTTAAAGTGGCTTACTGCAGAGAAATGAGAGTTTTTGGTGGCTGCAGATTTGCTGATTTTTCTCCTGCTCTGAATTAGTCTTGCTCCCTCTTGCTCTTGGATGAAGCTGTTTGGCTAACTGATGAACAATTATCCTGTTGTTGGCCAACAGTATCTTTTTGTGGACTAGAGACCAGTTATCATTCAGCCTCACTTGCAAACAATCCTTCAGCTTCAGTTTGTTTACACATTGCTGGAACCTACAGCTTTTCAAACAGGGTTCATAAAAGATATTAAATGCCTTACTTTTAATACATACAGTCATATTATAAATCCCTGTGTTTCAAAATAGTTCTGTCTCATTTCTATCCACAGTTTTTAAATACACACAGTCTTTACTAGGTTCTCTCCCTGCCCTGTCTCCATAGCAATACTTTTTAATCAGCATTTTGTGTCTCTCGATATCTCTAATAGATGCTGTCTTCATTATTCTTTTGAGGAGATTGGGCACCTATTCTAGCACTAACCACATATAGATTCATTCAATTTAACAAAAAATAGAACTCCTTAAAATTCACTGATGGACATGAGTGTGACTGCTGGGCCAACATTTATTGCCCATCCCTAAGTGCCCTTGAGCGTGTAGATGTGTTGCTTTCTTGAACTGCTGCAGTTCATTTGGTGTCAGTAGACCCGCAATGCAATTAGGGAGGGAGCTGCAGGATTTTGACTCAGTGACACTGAAGGAACGGCGATGTTTTTTCGTGTCAAGATGGTAAGCAGTTTGGAACGGAAATGTAGGTGGTGATGTTCCCACAGATCTGCTACCTTCACCCTTCTAGATAGTAGAGGTCACATATTTGGAAGTTGCTACTTGGGGAACCTAGTTGATTTTTTGTAGTGCATCCTGCAGATGGTACGCACTACTGTTACTGAGCATTGGTGGTAGAGGGAGCGAATATTTATGGATGTGGTGCCAGTAAGACTGACTGCTTTTCTCTGGATGGTGTCAAACATCTTGAGTGTTGTTGGAGCAGCACTCACCCAGGGGAGTGAGGAGTATTCCATCACACTCCTAACTTCTGTCTTATATATGGCTTTGAGGAATCAAGTGAGTTATTCACTGAAGGTTTCCTGCATCTGACCATATATATGGCTAGTCTAGTTTACTTTCTGGTCAGTGATCGTGAGCAGTACAAAATTGTGTGAGATAGAGCCCACAGCCAGCAACCCTCAACAAAACTTCACCAAAATTGATATGTCGGCAATTTTTAGTGAAATCCCCTCCTCCATTTAAATGCTGATCTGACCTGACATTCCATCAGCACAGACTTCTGGATAGAGTTTCAGATAAGTGAAACAGAGGAATCTGAGCTTTCTTTCCTATGTAGCCCATTGATATTGAAGTTAATTGTAGGATTAAAATGTGTTATAAACCTGAGTAACATCGTATTCAAAATAGTGCTGGAAAAGGGTAGGTTGTAACATAGACAACTTTTGGTATAAATGATTTACATGCGCAAATTCAAAAATTCTTACATCTCAAATATGTAACAAAATCTAGGCAAAAATACTACACCCAAAGGTGCATGTTTTAACAGCACTCGTATTAAACTATATTTCATTTTTAACTTATACCAGCAATTTAAATGAGCTGCATTTTTAAAATAATGTGTTATAGCCAACATAAGTTTGCGTTTTAGAAATAGCGTTCCCCTATTCGTCAATCGCGTTATAGTGAATTCATGTTGCCAGAACACACATTATAGGAGATCCCCCTGGATAGGGAATAGGGACCGCAAAGGAAGTGCATTAAACTCCTCTTTTCCAATTGTACCATACACAAATGAAAATAAACATTACCATTCTACTCTCAGGACAACAGAAACAGTTTTAAAAAGTGAAAATATATGGTGCTGAATCTGTGTAGTTGTTTTTGTGCTGCTGCATTTAAAGGGTGTGTAAGCATGAAAGGTAAAAGAATCA